AGAAGTTATTATACTAATAATATTAAATATTATTTTTTAATAAAAATTTGTATTATTTTCTATTTTATGCTGTTAAACACTCATTAATCCTAAAACCCACGGTGAAACCATTCTGTAGATTCTAATCTCAGAAGCCCCAATAAAATCTTTATCAAATTAAGATTGGCCCTCTTCCCAAGCTCACAAATAAAATTAAATACCACAAAGTTATTCTAACAAACAAATTAATATTATGAAATATGATTGGAAATTCGACAAAAAAGCAAAAGTTTAAAGATGAAGTCAGATGCCAACTGAACGTTTCAGAACGAAATGTGTTATTTAGTTTTCAAAGCATTCTTTACGAAAGAATAGTTAATTAATTTGACATAGACATATGCAACATTTGTTCTCATCCAACTTTCCAAGAATTGTTCCCTTTCTTCTCCCTTTGTTTCTTTCTGAACGACCTTTATCATTGTCTTTATTGGATTATTTATGGATATTATATCAGAGACTCATTGAAGTGCAAAACAAGCAAGAGCTGGAGATTAATGACACCAGTCACAAGGAATATACTTTGGAATGATAAGTTAATAATCCGATAATGATAGTGACACATTTTAACTTAAATCAAATTTACTATCATTCCATTCCAAACTATTCGTTACTCACTAGATTGAGACAACGAAAGAAATTTGAAGTTGAATCCGTGTATTATAAAAGTAGAGTTATTCTTATAACTTCTTCAATAAGTAGGATATGCAATTAGTTATTTAAAGGAGTTACTAATACAAGCATGCATAATAAAATTTTATAAAAAATTGTAATATATTACAAAACTTAATACATGAATGTTGTTAAATGTTATAAATTAATTTTCACAATAATTTATTAATTTTTTTATGTGTATTAATTTTATAAAATTACAATAAAATAAATAAAAATGATTAAAATGTTTGAAAAAGTCATTTTCTTTTCTTGGTTAATAATTTCAGGACACCAATCAGCATGTTGTTCTTATTTGATAATTGAATATGTTAAGTATTGGAAGTGAAGTATTAATTAACTGTAATTAAGAGCTCCCGCATGTCTGGGCATTTGGTGGCATGGACCAGTGGGGACGACACAAACAATGATAGAAGGGTTTTTCTTGGTTTGTTCGAAGGCGAAGAAAGCTATGTGTTACAGGAAATGTTTCTTAATGAGTTATCTTACATTAATTGTCATATATACGCATTAAAGTGAGGTGAAACCGTGAATGTGTCCAAAGGCTGGTCGTAATTTACATACTTTCTGAGTCCTTAAACGGGCGTGAAGGTTTTGCTGCTGCAGAGGCTTTTGCGTGTTGACAAGAAGAAGCTAACAAAAGAGAGCATTATACAGCTACGTAGTATTTTTTGGGATTCAAAACTGTTCCTCCTTTTCTTTTTTTTTCTTCCCCTATTCCTCCAATTAATCACTATCGGACAAAAACGATTCTCTTTCGTTTAAACATCCACAATTTTTTCTTAGTTTAAGAGCATCGGTAAATTTTTATTTGACAAGTGCTAACCAATGCTTAAGAATTCAAAAGTAACAGATTTTTATAAAATATATAATAAATACAATTTTTTTTGTATTTTTTATTATTATTACTTAATCAATGTCCTCAAGATTAGCAAGACTCTTTTTATTATTATTAACTTTATCAACTTTTATATTTAATTTTAACTTTTTTCTTGTTTGTTCGTATTTTTTTTTCTTTTTTCACTCATTTAACACTTTGTTTTGGAGTGTTAAACATCATTCTTTTTATCTTTATTTCTCTAATCATAATCATAATAATAATAGACGAGTTATCATATCTTTACGCTTGTTAAATTTGGATATAAAAAAGGTAAAAAGAAGAGAAGAATAAAGATATAAAAACAGAGATATTATAGATAGTGTGATAAAAAAAATGAGAAAATATAAATGTAAAAGTATAATTTTTGATAATATACAATATAAAATATTGCTTTTGTATGCTTAAGTTATATCTTAAGAACGATATTTTCACATCCTTTATTTGATGTCAAAAAAGTGTAGGAAAGAGAAAAAAATTAAAATATAATAAATGGTGTATGAAAAATAAAATATATACATAATTAATATATATAATTGTTATTTCAAAGTACGTCAAACATGACGACTTCATTTTGTGACTCGGCAAAAGTCACAGCTCATAGCATACAGTTTCTTGACCAATACTCGTGCGAAGACAACGAAAAATCAATATGTATAAAAAACAAAATTAACAGCAAGAGTGAGAACTGTATTGGAATATTGTCATGACATTTTAATTTGTTTTTTATTGGCTGTGTTTACATTATAAACTGATATATTTATTAAAAAAAAATCTCTTGAGGTAGCTTCTTAACGAAATCAAGTATTTTGAAAATTTATTCACTATATCAAAAAAATACTATTTATTCACATACAAAATTTTTAAATGTCAAGAAAATATTTTTTTAATATATTTTTGGTCTAACAAAAAAAATGTTAGTATACATGTGAAAAGTATATAATAACAGTATAATATGTTATATCAACAAATAGTTAATAAAAATATTGTTATACACTATCAAATCATCAAATGTTAATATAATATATTAATTGTTAGTATAAATCTTTAAGGTTTATATTAATATTTTTTTTAGATAAAATTTATATCAACAGAATTATTAATATTTGACTATTTTTCTTAGTTAATAAAATATAACTTTTTGTAATGTATATACTTAATTTCGTAAAGACACCAGCTTTTGATATGACATGTGTAGTGAATGATAATTAAATCAACTAAATTCTTTTCGATACTCTTGGAGTTATTATAATTATATTTTTTTTATAAAAATATGTTGATTTAGTCTAATGCTTGAAATAAATTATTTATTTGATGTATTTTAATGTTAAATGTGTCACATTATACACAAATGAAATAAATAAATAAAGTGTTGATGAATATTAATTGAGAGAAAAATTAATATATTAATCAACTAAACTCTTTCTAATATCTCGAGGGCATCACTAATTTCATAAAAAATACGACTTAACTTTCTATTATACTCTTCATTTCTTATATTTATTAATATCTCATTTATTTATTCTTTTATTAAATAAATATTAAATTTAGGAATAAAGATGTAAAAAAAATTAAATATTTATTAAATTTTTAAAATAAAAATGAAAATGAAGGGAGTAAATGTGTTTACTAAAATTGATAGCAAATTAGCAATAATGAATGTGAATAAATTTGCATATTCCAACAACTATAAAATATATATTGACATTTTTATAAAATATTCTTAAATGCTCTATAAAAATACTATTAAAATATATTTTTCACGAAATATACTCCCCTTTCTATTATTTTGTATTTTTAAAAAATTTCAATACGATATAATATATTACAACAATTAAATTTGTTCTATAAAATAAAGGCAATCTGTCCATTTATTCTCTATCATTATCATTCATCAAGTTTTGATATAATGCATGAAAAGATATTTTGATTAAAAAGGATAAATTTAAATAATTTAAATGATAACAATATATTAATATATAACTATTTTTATAATAGAAAAGTAAAGTGTTAATATCGTTTCTTTTTGTAATCAATTCCGGAGCTTGAAATCTAGTACGTAGACATTTTAAAGTCTTCAATTGCACTATTTAAATTTTAATGATTAAAAAAATTATGGCAATTCTCAAAATTTATATTTTTTATTTTCCGTTAACTATTCATCACGATCTCCTTAAAATGATTGCAACAATTGGCAAATTAATTATATAATACTCTTTCGTTAATTCAGTCTACCAAGTTGGCATGAAATCAGGTAATATTTAACTCTAACGCATGAAATTTGTTAAAAGTTTTGGATTTAGCGATACAATTAAGCTCTCGGATGTAATTGAAAGCAACATTGGCAAGCTTTAGTTACGCCAACTGTAATAGATTTTATAATTTTATAGCATGTTTGGGATTTTCACTGAGAATGAGAGAGGTTTTAGGACATTATATTCTTGCGCAGCTAGGAAAAAAATATTTGCAGTACTTTGATTTATAAATAATAAGTAAAGAAGTAATATTTTCCAGTTATTTGGAGTGTTTTTTTATCTTAAAAACATTATACAATTTACTTAAAAAACGAATTAATGTGAAATTACTTTATTTCATATATTAATGATAATTTAATTTAGTAATCATCCTTTAAAATTTTATTTATTGGTATGAAATCAATTTAAATTTAGAGCTGACAACTTGTATGCATACCAATTAAAAACGGATAAACTCTATTTTGTCCCAAAAGATTTAGCAGTGTCATATTAATTTCTGAAATGTTTCTAAGAGATGAAGATTTAAATTAATTAATTTTTTAGAGATTAAATTGATGTAGAAAAAAAGTTGACAAGCTTTATCATCATTTAGAGATTAAAAATACTAATGAATTTCATTTCTTAGAAATTAATGTGACCGATTCCAACCTTGTAGAGTTCAAAATGGTGCTCCCACTGGCTGATAAAACAACTCTGCTTTATTTCCATTCTCATTTCTGAAAGAGTTTGTATAAATCTGTAATATCCCTTTCACATTCTGAACTGCTTCTGCATTTTAAGGATATAAAGTCATGAGTGCAGCTAAGAAATAAAGGGTGAGAAGGGAGGATTAAAGATTAAAAACAATTGGAGTAGTGCTGAGATATTTCCATGGCGTGGAGGCCAAAGGAAAGAAATTGTCCATAGCAAACAAGGTAAACAAGTTGTGTGGGCTAATAATTAATTCACTACTATAATGTCAATCTCACTATGTTCCAACTGCTTACTTCAAATGTTGGTGATACATTCGATTTGATGTTTTAAAGCTTCATTTTGTCCTGACCCCCCGTCTTAATTAACCCATCCCCTATTTAATCAATTTATTTTTTTAAAATTTTGGTCCAATTTCATCCCATCCCCTATCTATCTATCTATCTATCTTAAATGTCAGTGACAGTACTATGGCTGCAGAGATTGGCCTTGTGTCTATGACCCAGATCCAAAAATTATCACAACCACACCACCACAAAAATCAACCTCAACCAAACCCTAACTCCACCACCGCCTCATCTACTTGGATGTGGAACCCTAGGGAGCAGCAAGAAGTGGAAGATGAGGACGCGTGGGTGGTCAGAGCTTTTGCAGAAGACACAAGGAACATCATGGGCACCACATGGCCTCCAAGGTCTTACACCTGCACCTTCTGCAGAAGAGAGTTCCGGTCAGCCCAAGCTCTTGGTGGCCACATGAACGTGCACCGCCGTGACCGTGCTCGCCTCCACCAAGCCCCTCCACCCAACCCCATCTCTTCCCTTCCCACACCACCTTTCATCAACATCCCTCATCAAGACCTTGTTGCAAATGCTGGATTGTGCCTCCTCTACCATTTGCCATCAAGCCCTAGTGCACCCTTCCCTCCACCTACTACTACCACTCTCAATGCTAATGGGGACTCTCCCTCTACTCTTCTCTCTATCTCTTCCTTTTCTCCAAACAACTTTATGATGCAAACTTGCTCGCCATCCCTTAATTTTCCAGGTGCAGTAGTCTCTACTGGGATCAATAGTACTGTTTCTTCTATCTGCTGTAACTCTACCAAACTGGACCAACCTTCAACTTCATCTATTGATAATGGCCACCTCGAAGAGCTTGATCTAGAGCTACGGCTCGGGCACAAGCCAAAACCAACTTCATAAAGCTAGCCCGAGAAATCCTGAAATATATATATTATGTAATGTGAACCATATAATGGTATTAATTAGCGTGTGAGAAAAATCGAAGTCCAACGAGTATTGTTATTTACTCTCTTTTGCAGCTCTGTGGTTTGTGGAGAAGATCGAGCGTGCCGTAATTTGTTGATGTTAGTGACACCATCTCCAGCTTTCGTAGAGCTGCGTAGCGCTGATAAGCTTGTTGGGTTTTTTTTTTTCCTTTTTTTTTGCGGGGGGGTGGGGGTTCGATTATCTCATTTCTTTTTGTTGATTGATTTTATCGGTGTGTGATTGTTTTGTGCTGAAGGTGCACATGGAGGAGCAAGTTGGGGGAAGGGATAGGAAAGGAGAGAAAGGGGAGAGGCACCAATGTAAATTTTTGAAAGAAAAAGAAAAATGTAAGTGTGTTTAATTTTTGGAGAAATTGGCCGTAATTAATAATGGAAGGAGATTAGGGTTTGGAGTGAGACACTGAAAAAGGTTGCAGTGAAGTGTCATTTTCTGTTTTAGAGTTGTCTAAGTACATACATGTCTGTTGTCTAGGCATACATTTCCGTGGGGATTACTTTCCACCCCTCGCCTAAGTGAATGAAGTAATATTATCTTCATTGTTCACACCTTTTGTTTACAGAAAACTACAAATATGCCATTTTCATTTAATTTATAGCATTTCCTTAAGTTTATTACCGATATATTAGTCAAAATACATGGTAAAAAATTCATTAAACTATAGTCCTTGTCGAAGCTCATAACATTTTGCGTTAAACACTCTTTAGTATAACCTTTAGCAATAAACTGTACCATTCTTGGTGTAAAGAAAACTTGAGGCTCCGAATAGTTTGATTTCTAAGGGGTGAACTGCAACAAATTATTTACGATTATGGAATATATATGGAGGCTAAAGACGTACACAATTACGCTTGCCTTGGCCTGTAATGTTATATATAAGAGCATCGCTAATTTTACATGAAACGACGCGTAAAATTCAAATGCACACACTTTTTTTGCAAGTTATTCAGCAATTTAAAAATCAAAAGAAAACCTTCTTAATACATTTCAGGCATTCGTATATAACTATTCTACTAAATATCTCGTAGCTAGCAAGCAGCGTTTCCGTATATGTAATATCTTACAAGTTAATTTAGTTCGCCTTTTCTATTTGGTTTCCAAGATACATTAATGGTAATTGAGACTCTTCCACTCCATTTCCACCTCAATGTTATTTCTACTTTATTTATATAGAATCACTCGCCAAACTATCTTTATTTTAATTTAATTTAGTTTTTGGCTGCCTTTATTCCGAATTTGTTTTGTGTACATCTTGAAAAGAAATCACTGCTTTGCATTCCCAAGTTTGTATTAAGTAACAAATTTAATATTTTTTATCAAAAAAAAAAAGCTATATTAAGAAAATACAAAGACTATTCTAACCTGTCGTACAAGAAAGAAGAGGACTATAACAAACAATAACCCCTCATACACTAAATTGATAGTATTTTGCAACATTGTTACTATGTTTGACATTTGATAATGATTTTTTTTTATGAACGGGGGTCACTCATTTTTTTATCGATCAATAATAGCCATTGAATGACTATCCCTGTCGTTATTATTATATATTATTATTTGAGTATCATCAAATAAATGTGAACATGAGTTGAGAAAAAAAAAATGAAAGAAAAATAAAAAAAAATACGATAGAAAATATGATAAAAATATAATAGAAGTATGTAAAAATCGGCACGGGTCATTGAAAGGGTCAATGATATATAATATGTGAATGATGATCACATTAATGATTATCATTCTACGTTATAATAGACTAATTAAAACAGAATAAACATAAAATTGCATAAAAATTATTTTATAATTAGACCAAAATAGGGCATATATATATATATATATATATATATATATATGCACACAACCTCAATCACGGGAAAAGAGAAAGAGCAATGTACGGATATTTGCAATGAATAAAGTATATTTGATGGCATTGGTGCGGACGTTTGATCCAGCTATTTTTAAAAATAGGCGTTGTTGAGAAAAGCAGAGGAAAAATAAGTTATATTTTAACATTCGATTTGTTATTTATATAGGAACAATTTATATAAATATAACATAACTATCCTAGTATAACACCCAAACTAAATATTAAAATAATATTATTGATAATGAAAGTTATAATTTAAATTTTTTTATTAAGTAGGTATTAAATAAAATTAATAAATATTTTACCATATTATTTAATATTAATATATAACATATTATTAACATACAAATAAACCACTTTGAATATATGACTCGAATATTAAAATTTTAAAATTTTATTAAAGATAATTCTGATTATTAGATCAAATTAAAGTATTTTTCCCTTTAAAACAAAACTGACTTATCATTTCTTCGTATTAATTTTTCCACTTTCGTCTATTTTATGAACTGATTTTAATCATCCTGTCAAACTGTATTTAATTTCCTCATTTTAGCATCCAAATTGGTCTTATTTGATTAGGATTATATATTCAAAGTGGTTTCCGAATATTGGAATCCTAAAAAAGAATTAATGGTATTATTAATTTTAATTTTTAAGACTGGATTTAAATATAGTAATTTTTATTTGAAATTTTTTTAATTATACTAAAGATATAAATATTATAATTTCATAAAAAAATAATACTAATTATTTGAATTCAAATATTAATATCAAAGTTAACATTTTCTTACAAAATTAAGCTATCGAAATGTTTTATATATACGCGCTTAGATAGCCTACCAATTGTAAAATATCCTCGATCGTAAATTGACCAAAAAATAGTTTCATAATTAATTTTCCTGTTCATTTAACAGTTTCCTTTCATACTTACGTGCGTTGCATTTATATTTAATAATGAAATTTTAATCTCATTAAGCAAAACAATTTTTTAAAATATTTTTCTTGGGTTGGCGACTCTCATTAGTATATATTTTTAATAAATAATAATAATATCATTGAATTCTTAGGGAAGACGAAGGTTTATCTCCGAATTCTTAACTATCTCGCTAATCTGCATTGGCTTGGGTTTTGCTGATTTTATTATGCAAATAATACATCTGTTTCAAATTTGTGTCCTCATTTTGCAAGTGATATTAAGTCTGTTCTACAAACACTAATAATATCATTGCTTTCTTTTAACTCTCGTCATCTCTCTCTTTTTGTCATGAGAATAAATAACTTCACTTTTAAAGTAGACTAATAAAATTTTATTCATATAAAATTAAATAAAAATTAATACAGTTTTCATAAGATAAATAACGAAACATTTTCCAAACAATATTAACTGATATATCAACCCCAACAAAATGAGAGGACAATCAGTATATCGAGTGGGACATGTATCAAACACAAGAGTGATGAAAAAAATGGAACAAGTAGAAAAGAAAAAGCGCAAAAACGCACCATTGATAACAAGAAGTGAAGTGAATATACAAGTATTCATATAAACAAACATGTTAAACGCTCTGTGGTGGTGATAACGATATCGTAATGCAGCTTTTAGTTAAGCTTGGGCCGCTTACGGCTATTAAGGTAGAAATAAGTTCTAACATGTACTTGACAAAAAAATGTTATAACATTTCAGGTTTTGTTTTAAATAAACATCTATTTTTAAAATTTAACGTCTACATTTAACTTATTTTATTTTGTGTAATTTAATTTAGGATTGTCCTTTTACAATTTTTTCCTTAATTTTTTAAATAACACTCCACTTCTTATTTTTGTTAACAGCGATCCACAAGGATGAGAATTAACAGCTTTAAACAGAAAGTGAATCAAAACTTTGACTGTCATAAATAAAATTATATTCACAAAAAAAGGCAGTTATCATTGAATTTAAGTGGGTTAAAGTTAAATTATTTTAATAAAATAAAAGTTAAGTTATACATTTAATTTTTATAATTCATAATTATCTATAAAATAGTCTTTTATATTTTGGTCCTTGTTATCACATGTTACAATGTCATGACAACATATATTAAAATATAACAAAATATTTATGTAAGGATTAAAACAATTTTTTTAATATAAAAATTAATTCGTAAACAAGTGTTAATTATAGGAATTAATTGTATATTTAAACCAAAAATAATTTTTTTTATAAACTTGTTTTAAAAAAATTAAAAATGATAGAACTTATTTATTTAATAAATACATAAAAATAAATAAAATAATAATTATAGTTAATAAAATACTAAGAATAATTTAAGATAATAAATTTTTTATCATGATAAAAAAATCTAAACATATGTATTTTTTTGAGTCGATATAAGAAAAAAGGAAAGTAAATATGTTTAAATATTTTTTTATCTAATTGATAAAAAAATAAGTAAAATAAACGTATAAACATAAGGATTAAATGTTAAATGTTTAATTTAATTTAAAATAATAATTAATTACTCAGTAATTCTATTTTAAAATTTTATTCCCAAGGTAAGATTACTAAATTACAAAATCCAAAATGATGTGATCCCAACGGCTACTTGGTAGCCAAAAGTAGAAAGAACGTATAAACATGAGATCAAACTTAAAATAAGGAAGGAAATCTGAAAAGGTAGAGGTTAATGTACTCTCTGCTCCTGGCCGTGGGAATTCAAGACAGTAGTTGCGTAAATCTTTAGTGAATGTAAAGTTTAAGTGCCCTCTTTAACTGAAGCTAGAAATGCCCTAGTCTATAGATTTCCACCTATGTAGTAGCCTCTAAGTTATAAGCTCCTAATATTAACTAATTAAAAGACACGAAGTAGCTAAGATTTGAAAGACACCATAGTTTTCTAGCATCGAATACTTTATTCGTTGCTAATATCCGTACATTGCTCTTTCTGCCAATTCCAATGGCTTCTGATGTGATTAATGTATTAAATTGAAAGGTATATATATAGTGATTATAGTCAGCTTTATCTGAATTACTCAGATGTTCAATATAGTATTTCAAAATATGCGGTGTTAGACTAAAAAGATCTATCGATGTTTGGATCAAAGTAATTTTTTTTTTATCAAGCATTTAGCTAACAATTTCCTCACCCCCTAATTGAATAATGGCACATTATGTTAGATTTGGCATTTTACAGTGTACCTACAATAATTGATTTTCCAAATATCACAGAGAAATCATGCACGTGAGCTTCTCTTAGCACTAGTTATATTTCCAAGTGTTATCGAAGAGTAGACCTTTAATAACAATTCTAAAATTAATAACAATTCTAAAATTAATTGTAACAAAAGGAAAAAAAATACTATTAATTATTTTTAACCCATCTTATACTTAATATTTGAACTATTCCCGAGTCCAGCGATGAGAGAAAATTTATTATTAACAATAGTTGCAATTTGTAGAAGATAAGATACGGGGCAAAACATGTCTACGTGAGATTATGAGAGTTAATGGTTTATAAAATAATTAATTACTTACGTTTACCAACTTTTAAAAACAAACAATTATTTTTCTAAAATTAAACCCGATCAAGTGTGGATATATTGTCCAAACAGCCATCTCCAGTCACCGTTTCCTAAAAAGTAGATAAACCATGTCCCAGAAACAAGCTATGAGCCTAATAGAGTTAAGAGAGTGGCGGTAACTTTAAATCCTTTATTTTTTTTTTGTCACTAATTTGCTCATTATTGTCCTGTACTTTTCACTGCCAGCATGAAGTTTACAAAATTAAATATTTGCATAATAAACTATAATACTATGCTAGATCCTGTATTTGTCTCCCGATAAAAACATAATATATACGTAATATGAAAAAAAATTACATTTTCTTTCTTATTTGTCAAAACCACTTTTTTTTAAACCTTGAGGAAGATAGTAATTTAAAATTTTTTAAGTGTAATAAATAATATAATTTTTTTTATAAAGATGTTATTTTTTGGTTAAGAGACAATAGCAAAATACATCCACAAGAAAGTGGTAATTTAGAGACACAATGTCTGTTTATTTTGATGTTGAACTGTTGTTAATCGAATTTAATTTAAACTAAATGATGTTAATTTTTAGCACACAATTCCAGACATGTTGAATAATAATATCTTATAAATTTACTTAAAAATACGATATTTAATTCGATTACTTGATTTGATTATCTCAATAAAAACAAGCTTACTACGTTGGGCAATAAATGGGAGTCAGTGGGCTACAACTATACAGGGACCCGTGGTACATGTGCATGTGTTCTTGCTAGTTGTTAAGCAGCAGCATTGGTGTGCAATCTTTGTTGAAAAAGGCTAAAGCATAAAACGTACATTCATATAGCTTTCTAGTATTGTTGCAAAGTTGATGTCTTCGTGCATGTGGTCCAATCTCTAACACAAACACAAACTCATTAACATATTTTTTTTATTGTTAGTTAAAATTTATTAAAATTATATAAAATTCATTTTTTTAATTCATAAATTATTATTTTTATTCTTCGATGCATTTTTTAAAATAAAAAATATATATATTAAAAAGTGTTGCCAGCATTCTTCCCAAAGCAAATATGCTAAATTTGAATGACTTTTATCTGAGTAGACATCGGGTCGTTGTTGGGTTGATGACGTCGTTTTGTTACAGTTATAATAACAACACATGGCACAACAGAGCGTTCCCACTTCAATTCTTCAATCAGCACTAACTCGTTATCATAACATCAAATACTGAGTTTATATGCATTGATCATAAACTGCGTCACATTGGACAACATTCAAGGAGAATTCCATGATATGATTAAAAGAAGCCTCAATTCAAAATCCGTTAGAATTATTGCATAACATTTGGTTGGTAAGATTGACTGGGTGATGATCAATTCTAAATCAACATGCTATTTTTTATAGTATTAACAACAAAGAGCTGATTACGAAATTCATTTCTTTCTAAGACTTTCTTCATATAACATCTCCATTATATGAATATTGTAAGAAATGAACTGGTAAGCGAAATCACTCATATAAATGAAAATGAAAACAAAATCTTAAAAACAAAGCAACATATTAATCCACGAACTCTAATTAACGTTACCGTGTCGCGGTCCCCACGAAAACAATAGGAGAGCAGGACAGCCAGCTAAGAGGAGCACATATATTTATGGGCTCTGCAATCTGCATGACTCCTTCAACTTTCATTTGGCAGCACACTGATGATCTTCCTATATGTGCCTCGTCCTTGGTCCCCTCTTCTCTTCTAGCTATACCTTTATTATATGTAAATACAATACCATTCCATGACCATATATCCCTCTCCGTTTCTCTTCTTATTTATGCAGGTTCTGAACACACTGCACCTCCCTTTCTCTCTCTCTTCTGTGACTGATTTAGATGTTCAGATATCTCACAACCATGAATTCAGTGTCCAGTACCTCTTCCATTTCCCTTTGTGCGTGTGTGCCTTTACATTTCTACGTGCCCAAAAGAATATATAGCCAATAGCTAGGCTACTTTTTAGGAAATAAACCTACTAAATACAGACATTTTTTCTGAACCTCTGATGCTAACTAAATAACAAAATATTTTATTTATCGTACTCGTGATTTTTATATTAATAAAAAATAATATTCACTTAATAATTGAGTTAGTTCTGGAATTGCCATTGATTGATTATTAATTATATATATCCCATCAGAAAGGGCCTGAATAGCATGAATTCGATTAGTCTCCTGCAACAGAAGCATTCTCATGCATTTTAAGTGAGAAAAAATATATTGAAACAGCTAAAAGCGTGAGAAGAAATGAGGAGTGGGGAAGGGATGGGGTGTGAAAAGCAAAGCGTGTGAGAAGTGGGATTGAGGTGTAGTCGTGGTCAGTATGTGGGCTCGGATACCCAGTGACACACTAATCAGTAATCATTGCTTTTCTCTTATCCTCATCTGCATGGAACCCTGTCTCTTTTTTCTTTCCCTTCCTCCTAAACAATTGACTGTTCTTAACAGTGACACTTCCCGCACAGAAATAGACGTATTGAGATTTTTCCTAGCCCAGATTCAGAATTGACAATTCCCACTTGGTCTTTTTCAATTTCCCATCTTATTTATGCCATTTTTATCAAATTCAATTTTACAAGACTCTTACTCTACTTTCAAGGAAATCCTGCACATTTCATAACCCAAGTCTCTCAACCCGCTTTCTTTTTAAGCTAAAAGGTAATAACCATGGAAATTGAAAAGTTATTGTATTTACCAGCACTGAAAATTTATTATGATTGTTATTTCTTAAAAATATTTATACAATAAAAGTTTAAAATTGTTTTACCAAGTAAGCCTTATTTATAATTTTCTAGAAAATAATGATCAATTGAGAAATTGTTTTTTCTATAATGTATATAAAAACTAAATTATTCTGTTGACATAAGAAAAAAAATTATCCTCTGAAGATTTGAAAGCTGTAATTACATATCGGTGCTTGAGCGAAAAGGAAACTTAAATATATATATATATATATATATATATTTTATTTTATTTTTTCCTCACAATAAGTGAAAAATTAATATCTAATAATAAGGTAACACGATACAGTAAAAATTATTTTTAGCAGCGTGTTTTCAGTACATATAAAGTTTTAGATCACATTAAAAACATTTGAATTCCTTTCATTTAAAGTAACACGCGTTTATCAGTGGTAAAATTCGATTCACTATATCGACAGAACCAAAATAATTGATAAATGGTTAAAACATCATATATGTTGCATGCATACATTATTTATCTATAAGAAATTTATATATTTACTTTTTATGTTTTAAATTTTCATCATTGATGTTAGAACTTTAAATTCTTACATTTTAAAAACAAATAATGTAAAATATTGTTTAGAAAAAAGTTTAGTCTTTTAATTTATTAAGAGAGTCTAATAACAACATATATATACAATTCGTGTAATTGGACTAAATTCGGCACTCACTCTGTTAATATACTATTGTATTTTTAGAGTAAGTCAATAAAAAAGGGTTAATTTTAAAGATTAATAATATTAAAAATTTATATTTATTATAATTTTATAATTTAAATTTAATAAATTTATTGATTTTTAATCATTTAAAAAAAATTAAACTTAACGTAAGAAACGAGATTAATAACAATAGGAAAAACGTATAACTAGATCGATTATATGGGCTTTTGTCTATATGGGCTTTTGTCATAGAAGTAAATATATGGGCTGAAATATAGAATCATCACTGGCCCAAGATAAATTCAGTCTGGCCTGATTATAGATGAGCTCACCCAGATAGCCTGAGAGAGAATGCGTGAACTGAACAGAAATTGACCAACAAAAAAAAAAATCTGTAAGAGACAGAGAAACAGTAGGGGAGTGAGGAAGAAGAAGAGGAGGAAGGATTTCGAATTACCATGGCTGCGACATGGAACTTGTTAGAAACATTAGGGGATCTGGAGAGGGATTCGTTCGTGTCCCTTCTGTCAAAGCTGATTGGGGAATCGAAACACGTGCAGAACAACCCGCCGGAGCTTATTCCTGAAGAGGACAGGGTGGTGAAGCACGTGGTGGACTCTCTCTTACCCTTCAGCACCACCACCGGCGGCGGTCCCTTGCTCCTCAACCATGTCACCTATTTCCCCGGCAGAGGCAACCTCATCGTCGAGTACCCTGGAACCGTTCCCGGCAAAATCCTCTCCTTCGTCGGCTGCCACATGGATGTCGTCACTGCCAATCCCAATGATTGGGTATCTATCTATTTATCGATTCATCTTCCTTTTTTACTGTTTCACATTTACACCTATTTCGCTGTCCCTGCAGGATTTTGATCCGTTTACCTTGAGCATCGATGCGGATAAGCTTCGAGGTCGTGGAACTACTGATTGTTTGGGACACGTGGCTCTTGTCACGCAACTCATGAGGAAGCTTGGCGAAACCAAGCCAATTTTGAAATCAACTGTTGTTGCTGTTTTCATAGCCAATGAAGAGAATTCTGCAATAACTGGTGTTGGTGTGGATGCACTTGTCAAAGATGGCTTACTCAACAAGCTCAAGGGTGGCCCGCTGTAAGTCTTTGTTGTTTCTTGCATTTGTAGATTCAAGAAGTATTTTAATTGCTCTGGATTTGTCTCTTTAAGAAAATTTAATTTTATTCTTTTTTTGTAGCAGTTTCAGTTCCGATTTTAATATTTCTGGAAGTTTTAATTTCTGCAGTTTTTTCCCAGGTTTTGGATCGACACTGCAGATAAACAACCTTGCGTTGGCACTGGTGGTATGATACCTTGGAAGCTTCATGTCACGGGGAAGCTCTTTCACAGTGGACTAGCTCATAAAGTATGCTCTTACTTTATTGTCTTCAATGATTCTCTTATTTTTCGTGCAATGATGTTTTCTCTATGATAAAAACATAATATCATATTGACAAAGTTCTAATTACTGATATTCTGAGAGGCTATAGCACGTGACTGTGAGGGAACAAACATATTTGCTTTTCTTGAACTCTGCATTTGTTTATGATGAAGACTATAATTAATTTGCAGAAATTTAGGATATACTTAGTTGAGCTGAAAATGGCCAAGAAGAGGGGAAGTTGGGAGTTACAAAATTAGCTATAATATTTTATACATGGTATAAAAAAATGTGGGATCATTGTGAGTGAACTGCAATTCTGTGGCACTCCACCCCAACAATATTTGATCAGTACTAATAACATTCAACCTATTTTTCAACTTTACCTAGAAACAGTAAAAATTTAAATATTTCTGTTCTACTCTGATTTCACCCCTGATTATACCAAGCATTTCGTTGATGACAAAATTAAGGAGTAGAAAATAGCACAGGCTGCATCCTGTGCTTGATTCTGTATAACAAAGAAGATTATAATTGCTCGGTATACTCCCAGAGACAAATGCCAATTATGTATTTGTATTTTTCTTGGGCCTTACGCCTGCTGCTTGAGTGGACCAAGTACCCAAACAGAGAACTATATAAACGATGTTGATAAAAACAACATATCTCTAAGTTTATGGACATGAGGTGGAATAATAATGTGGGGCACAAGTAGCAATCAAGGCATATTTGTTGTAAATATCATTGTAGTAAACTTATTTTCCATTTCATACTTGTAGGCTATAAATCCACTGGAGCTAGCCATGGATGCTCTAAAGGAAATCCAGTTACGATTTTACCAAGACTTCCCACCTCATCCCCAAGAACAGGTTTATGGGTTTGCAACCCCTTCAACCATGAAACCAACCCAGTGGAGTTGTAAGTTATGGGCCCCAAGTAACTATTTTCACACTTCTTTTTAATAAAAAGCAAAACCTACAAATTTCATAATTATTATGCCTTTATCACAGATCCAGGAGGCGGAATCAACCAAATTCCAGGGGAATGTACTGTTTCAGGAGATGTCAGGTTTATTCTCCTCCTTAGGATTACTCAAGGCATTTTTGTTAGGAATGGTGTGGCATTACAGATATCTTTTCCCTTGTTTGTTCCCTTATTGCAGGTTAACTCCATTCTACAAGTAAGCTACATCTTACAGTATGGCCAAATTTTAGTCGTTTGGAAGTCACGGGTTCAATTTTTGTTCTTAATTTTACTAGCATATTGCAATTGCAAATTATTTCTTTATCGAGAAGTAAACACGCGAGGGTGGGAGATTTCAGTTATTTTATGAATATTCCTCTCCCCAATACCCTAATATTTTGATCAGTGTGAAGGATGTAATGAAGAAGCTGCAAGAATATGTGGACGACATTAATGAGAATATACAGAAGTTAGAAACAAGGGGTCCAGTTTCCAAATATGTCCTACCTGATGAAAACTTAAGAGGAAGGTGAGGCTTGTCTTTCCTCCCTTAATTAGCAAACTCAACTGAAGAGTTCAACTCCAAATTTCTCGGCCTTTCTACATTTTTAGTAACTTGAAATTTTATTTCAATCCCTTGATTGGATCGTTTTCATTAACTAAAGATTATCTGTACTGTTAACTAAATAGGGTTCCTGTTCTCTTCTTTTCAGCCTTACTCTAACTTTTGATGAGGCAATGTCTGGAGTTGCTTGTGATCTTAATTCTAGAGGTTTCCATGTATTATGCGAAGCAACTGAAGAAGTAGTTGGGCATGTAAAACCTTACTCAATTACTGGGAGTCTGCCTCTCATCCGGGAACTGCAGGTGAAAATATATTCTCATTGTTCCTTAAAAGGCTTTTGTATTGCTTACATTCCTTACTTATACCCCCCCCCCCACACACCCTTTTTCTCTTTCTCTGTCACAGGAGGAAGGTTTTGATGTTCAAACTTCTGGCTATGGTATGACCTCCCTAAGAACAAATTTATGCGTATTGAATTTGAAAGTAATTGAAGTACTTACTCATTGTATTTGACAATATGTCCAGGCCTAATGGCAACTTACCATGCCAAGAATGAGTACTGCCTTTTTACAGATATGTCCCAAGGATATCGGGTGTTTGCGAGCATTATCTCTAAATTGGAAGATTGAGAATTGCAGAGGACCAAATAATACTGGAATCTCGTGGGTTACAGAAGATATTATTGTTGATATCAATACAATTGAAGTATTAGATTGTATAGAGGAATAGTTTGGTGGACTTTTCTTCAACGTGATGGACAAAGCTGCCTTTTTATTAGCCATAAATTTCTCAAGCGAAACACCCTTCTAAGCCAATGAAAATTCACAGTCCTTTCACTTTTAGGTGGCGTTGGGTATAAGAAATAATTCATTCATCCTTTTAGCTTTTTCTCTTTTAACCAATGTTTCGTAAAGGAAATCTTTTATTCTTAACTAAGGATCATTTTAAGTAAACTTCTGAAGAAGTCTTTTTAAGGAGAAAATTGCAGTTTAAATGAATTTTTTTTTTTTTCATAAGTTAAAAACACTTTATTTTAAATTAAAAATATTTTAAAAAATAGAGAAGTATAAATTGTTTATAATTTTATAAGAAATGTTTTTTTTTTATTTTAACTTTTTTTCTATAGTGACTTTTTTAAAAATTTATTCAAATTGGCTTAAATCACTTTTTAATAATGAAATTTATGAGAAAAAAAAATGTAAAGCGTGTATGAGTATTATTAAATTTTCATAGGAATGATGTATTTATCATTAATTACTTGACATTTAATAGTGGAAAAATTTTATTTTTACTTATGACAAAGACCAAGGTTTATTTTTACTTATTCACAAATTATCATTCTCAAAAATCTCATTCTTGTTTTTTTCTCAAAAATGAAACTTTTTTATTTATATATCATTTTTTAAAAATGTTAAATTATTTGTTTATCATACCGCTCTTTTACTATCATGTTTTTTGGGTCAGTCCCTTGTTAGCATTCGACTTTCCACTTTCATGTGCATACTGAAGTCCGTTAAAACAACCTAAAATGGGGCTAAAATGGCAAATGGAACCACATATATGCTATCAATCCCACTTTTGGATTATCTCATTTTATTGGGTAAAAGAAAAGGCTATTACAACGCTTATTTCGAAATTTCTGTAATCAAAACTTGCATATTCTGTAAGTTCAAGACCTAAACTACCACAAGTATACATATCTCCTCTTTACATGACGAACAACTATACATATACAATTTTTTTCTACCAAAACCAGTCATGGAGGGCATTTTCAATATCTACTTGGAGGATTTCTCTTCTAATTTTAGCTGTTGGATTCTTTGACGAAGTCTACGCCGGTGGTTATGTATCTTCCAAAGGCCATGTCCCAATATTACTGTGGAGTATATGCCATGTGTGATAATGGGAGCAAGAATATTATTTGTCTGTCACGTAGGCATCCCAAACAAACACAAATTAGTTCCAACCTTAGAAATCTTAGACAAACTACCAAAATAAATTTTTAGAATAAATAAAAAGTGAAGCTAATGATTACTTGGATCCACTCGAAACCTAGGTAGAGGGCCAGCAGTCCTTCTAGAAGCGGGGAATAGATTTTTTTCATTTGCCTTTTCTCATACCAGGCTGTAAAATTAAGACATCATATGTAGAAAATGTACAAGTCAGAGATAGACGTTGGAGTGAAATTTTATTGGTTTATTTATTCCATCATTTTTTTAATCAGTTGACATGACAACTAATTTTGCTCAAAGACATTCACATGATCAAATGCACCATCATTAGTAAATAACACAACATTTGCCACAAATAGGATAAAAATGATTATGTTGATGAAAACAAGAATAAACACCAATTGTAACCACAAGCTGCCTTTATTGTAAGAATAATTAGTTCTGTAGAAAAAGACTTGGTGGCTCACTGCTCTAGAATGATTGCAAATAACACAGATGGGAATTGATTCCAATATTCAGCTATAATAGGAGAAAAGAATAGAACCTTCAAACAGCTTTTTCAAATCTTGACGACCAGAGCGAGATTGTAAAACAGGTGCAACAACATATGTAGGATCTGAAAAAGAGAACATTTAGGAAATAAGGCTGAGAACAAAATAGGAAAAATAAGTTATAGAAAAGGGCAATGACAAAAGTAACCTTTTGGAGATGCAGCCACATAATAGAGAGAACCAGTAAGAACAGCTGTAAGGACAGCTGCAAATGCCTGAGCAAATGGAACAAATGGAGGCAATACCCCTGTCTACATTTTACCATACAAACCATAAGTTAGTCACTGGAATACAAATTTTAACTTTAAATACTTGTAACATAAGAAGGGTCATGTAAAAGAATGGTAGACATACCAAAGACGCCATTCCTTGAGCATCTGTTATAAGATTACTGCCGCGTAAGAATATATCAGCTAATGCGCCCTGTACATTTGCAACAATAAATTATTGAGCTCAGATATAGTGTTCCATGCAGAAAACAAGATTATGAAGTCTACAATTTTTTTTCTTTTATTTTCACAATGAAGATGTGTTCATTCTGAAACTCTATTTATACACAGGGAGTAGGAATATGTCACAGGACAATGGATTTGATACGACAGACTTTTGTCCATGAGCACACAGCAAAAATTTCGAATTTCAAATCATACGAGAGTTCATATTTTAAAAATGAGCAAGATATATAGACATAATTAAAGTATAAAATTTATAAAATTATTGAAGTATTTCAACCGGTATTAGTAAAAAAGTTAAAAAAATGAAGTAAAAATATTATAAAAATGCAACTAAACGTATGAATGTGTCCAACACACTTAAAACACAGATGATTACTACTTAGAAGTGTCTTCGCTTCTCAAGTTATTCTCATTTTGGAACAAGTTTGGACCGACCAAAGCATATGCGTGATTGTTTCGTCAATCTCTAGATGCAGATAATGGTAGGGTAAAAGAAAAAAGAAAGCAAGGTTTTTTCCCTTCCGAATAATCATCAAGAAAAAAATCAAAGCAATACACGCAATGATTTCCCATATTATATTCTTCAAAGAATTTGGTTGGTCTTATGGCATGAAATTTGATCAGTCAATATAGATAATTTATCAAATCAAAATTTCTAAAAACAATTTCCTTGAAAAATCAATTTAGTGATCGAGATTTTACAGAACTCAAAACTGGTCAAAAGGTATAATATATAAAAATTGTGCAGCATAATTTTAACAGCTATCATTTTCTTTCATGTTTAACATCAATTTTAGGCTTATCGAATAATTATTTTTCAGACATCTCAAGGCAGATATAATCCAAAATCAGAGACAGAAGATAGTTAACAAACCTGAACAGCAGCCCTGTAGAAGAGTTCCTCTCCCACTGAACTTGCAGCAACCATCAGTATAAACTGTAAAGCAGAATCAATTAAATCGTTCTTCACCACACTATATTGCAAATAATTCAATATGCGAAAGCAGCAAGTTTTATCAAATTACCTGCCAAGGGGACATCCCATAGAAAAAGCTCCAAAGTTCTTCATCCTCTACATCTCTGATGGCACGGGCATGGGGTGACAGCTTCACAACTTCATCCTATTATGTTAATAATCATGTCAGTTAACTTTCACCAAAGAAGACTCAATTCAAATGACGAAAGGAAAACTACACATAAAGAACACAACCTTATCATCACAATATAAATTACATATGAAAGAAGGAAATTACATCAAGAATAAATAGTAGAGCCATGATTGGAGGAGCTGCATATCCAAGCCCTTCCAAAATTGCATCTAATGATAAATGGAAACCCCCCAGAGAGTCAATTCCTGTGATCGAACAAATAAAACTCCCCGCAACAGCCATGGCACCATAAATCCCTGAAACAGGCAAGGAAAACCAAAATAAATAAAATCAAATTTCACATTTCCAAATGTGGAAAATCATTTATTTGATTTAAAAGCAAATTTTTTTCTTTTCCTTTGTTCAACACAAAGAAGACACAATCACAACCAACAAGCAACTATTCATTTCAGTTAAAGACAGAAAAAGGGAAGCACAAAAGTTTGACACTTTGGATTGGATTTGAAAAGTTGGAGTGATGAGATAAAATCTCACCTATTCCATAGCTGAGTCTGACAACAGCACCAATCTTTTCCCAAACGGGAAAGTCAGCGTCGTTGAAACTGCGATTGAATGTGGTGACTTCCATGGCAGGGTTGGTGAACCCGGTTCGAGTCTCCCCATCATCGATGGTGTCACCGGTTCGTTCCGCCGAAGCCTTAATACAACGCAGTGAGAGTCTAGGGGCATAGAAAAAGGGTACCCTCTTCTTCTTCGGTTGAAATTCACTTAGCTTGGAGCAGTGAGCAAGTGCAGGTGGAAGCGATGAAGTTGAAGAAGAAGGGGTCAGTGTTAGAGAGAGCTCCATTCACTTCAGAAAACGGTTCAGCTCAGAAGGAGTAAAGAGAAGCAGATTCTGAATTTGTGTTCTTCATTGATTGCTACTGTGGTTGGAACAAATGGATGGCATGGGTTGTATCTCTGTCTTTGTCTCTCTCTGTGTTCGTGTGTTGTGTATGAGCCGGGAAGAAAAGAGAGGTTAAGGAAGAGTTCGAAGATGGAGTAGTCAACTGGGACAGGATTGATGAGAATATCCTAACCACCATTCATAGTATGACACGTGGAGATAACGTTGGCAATCATAACCATCCAGTTGCGTGAAATCCCATGATTTTTTTGGCCTTCGATTTATGGTAAAACCCCCCATTAATTTTCTTCTTGCATTTGCGTGGAGGTAAGTTTAAAACCTTTAAATTAACGAACTTTACCTAATTTTACCTTCCATCTCTGTACGAAAAGCTTTCTCCCAACTAATAAATTTTACCTAATTTCGCAATCAACTCAATCAATCTTGATAAGATTTTCCATCATTTGCTTTTTATTTTTTTAAAAAAAATATTAGTGTTATTTATTTTTAGAAAATATTATTTTTTTAGCATACATGTGATTTATACTAAATAAAATATTTATTTTTAAACAATTTTTATATTTATTTTATTTTAAAATATTTATATTAGTTATATAAATATTTTATTTTTATAATTAAAAAATTAGGCTAAGCAGTTTCTTAATATTTTACTTATTCTAAAAAATATAAATAAATAATTTTAAACACTTAAATCAGTCGATATAAAACGGGCAGTCTCTTAATAATTGTTCTATAAATATCTTCATCAAACCATAAAAGTTAACTTGGATTTTAACTTCTACGTGGCTATTAACTTCAATTATCAACCAAGTAAATTTTAGATTAGTTTCTCTGAGTCCATGTAGAGCTTCTGCATGTCACCCTATCAAAACTAGTTATTTCACGCTCTTTACTTTAGGATTGATTTTATTTGCGTTGAGAATGGAGTTTGTCTACTTTGATATTTTATATATATTTATGCACAAAAATAGTATAAATTTAATTTCAGTTTTTAAATATACAGATTCGTTGTACTAAGTATGTATAATTTGAAATAATAATAATAATAATAATAATAATAATAATAATAATAATAATAATGTAAACAATTTTTTTCATATAGATCATCTGTATTCTTCGTTAGAGACAATCATATTCAAATTAAATAGGATTATGATATGGCATACTTAAAAATTGAATACTGAAAAAATAAGTTGATTATCAAACATGTATGACTCTTTTGTATTTAAAAGTACAATGCTAACGTACAATACTATTTATTCTTTCTAATTTATGCAAAAATAAGATATTTATTTCTATTTTTGCTTAAATTTACTAGAGAAAAAATCTCTTTTTAACTCTAGTAAGAGACATTCGCTTAAACAAAATTTCAAAAAAAAAAAAAAATGTTTCGCAATGCATGAACATAGGTTTTTATCACAAGGTGCATTGAATACGGATCCTCGTAGGCACCCTTAAATTCAACGATGTTGGTTGCCCAGATCGACAAATGATGCATTATATGAATATCTTTCTTCATGTCTTCTTTGTTAATTTTGGAAACTAGCTTCTTCTTCAAGATCGACTTGCAAGCATGAGTGTGACCACTTGAATTCTCAGTGCATAAATACATAATCTTAAATTGCCGTCTTCCTAGTTCTTTCCGCAAAGTGTAGTGCTTCTTTATGTCTTCAAAGGGTTTTCCTTGAATGCTTGCTTATGTTGTCTGCAAATTCAAAGGTTTGGGTTTTGGTGGGTTCACCACTGCCTATGATTCTGGTTTGGATGCCGCTGCCAGAACTTGAGGAATGGGTGGCTGAATAGTGTGGGAACTAACAGTGCTGCCACCTGTGTCTGTGTTTGATCCATACTCACTAAACTATGCGCTTGATTTTATTTTTTTTCCTACTTGCTACCATGACAACCCAATTGACAAATAGTGTTTGTCGAGTGAGGGTTTTGGGAGAAGATTGAGAGATCGTTATAACACGCACTACACAACTTTTATTTGATTTTTGTTCTCAAACGAATATTTCTCACTTAAGGCTAAAAGTGATTTTTGATTTAACAAATTTAAATTTATTTAAGTAAAAATAAAATTAGAAATCTTCTTTCTATACAAACTAAAGATAACCCAGGTCTTGTCCAAGATTTAATAGATGGATGTATAAGAAAACTTAATTAATATGACATCATGCACATATGTATATATATTCTAACATGAAAAATGTTATTTACACTATTAGTATTAGATATTTAAAGGTATATTTTTAAAAGAATTCAAAAAGATAAGTGAAAAATAAAAAATATAACATTATATATAATATTATTTTTTAGTAATTAATAAAATCATCTCAATATATGAAAATGGTATGGAAAAAAGTCCTCTTCTCGTGTCATAATCCTATAAATATAAGAATATTTTAAATTTAATTAAAAAATTATATAACTATATGAATAAATAGAAAATTATTAGACAATTAAAGTTATTTAAATTTAATTTTAATGAGTTTATAGGAGACTGTAAGCTAAAAGTTGTCAATCTTTATTTATTATATTTTTATCTTGTACATAGATGTAGGGGTGTTAAAACAGGTCAGCTCACCTTACCTCAACGTGCTATTCTACTCAATATTGTTTAAAAAATGACTAGATTTTTAGTTTTATCTCTTTAAAATGGGTTGGTGGGCTAATAGAATAGTATGCCAAACACCAAAAATAAAAAATAATTGGTGAACCATTGAATTAATGAGTCAATTCACCTAAAGTTAACATAAAAATTTATGACATATAACACTAAGAAAATATATTTACTTTCACTAATCTCGTGATAGACATTAGGATATTGGTTATTTGGGTAGAAACATTTACAATACTAACAGTAAATATTAGAAGAAAGTAAAATAAATTAATTATATATTTACAATATAAATCTTAGCTAACAATTTATAATATACTAACACGATAATTAATTTTTATCATTTGAACATATAAATTAATTGGTAAGTGATACTCTAAAAGTAATAATTAAATATTGGTAATAAGTTTCGTCAAACAACATTCTTTCTTTGGACTAATTATCCTTATAATTATTATCATTATGTACATGCTATTATTTAGCCAAATTATATCTTTCTTTGTGTCGAGTATAATTTGCATAAATAATCTTATACTAACATTTATATAATTTTAATTAAATTATTTTTTACAACATGGATTACTTTGGCAATATATTGTGTCAATTAATTAATTAAAAAAATTATTAGACAAATAATATTAAAGATAGTCTATAATATGTCAAAATCATGATTTTGTGATGAATTTTTTCTGAAAAAAAATATTTCACTAACTCTAGTTGCATTACAAACATAAATCTCAATCACCTAACAATAATGTTGACTCTTATATTACTTGTAGATATTTTTTTTAATCTTTATAAAATTTCATATAAATAAATGTACATTACATCAAATTAACAAGAGAAGAAAAGGATTTGAAGATTACCTAAATTTATATAATTTAATAAATAAATCTAACAAAATATGAACCTTTATTACAGTGATCTTCTTCAACTAATTCATTATATTCTTCTAACGAGACATGACGTTTTCTCTTTAATTAAGAGGAGAGTAAACTTTTTCAAATTAAGTACACCATAAATTATGGCCATTTTTTCTATTTTAAACTTATTAGAGTTTCTATTATCCTTTAACGGTCTTGAACCCAATTTCCACTCAATGCTTGCTATGTTATTGTAAATTTGGGAGAGCATTTCATACGACAGTTGTAATTCCTCTAATACCTAATATAAAATCAATAGTGATAATTGTTTAACGTGTGAGAAGACATAAAATATCCTCTTAATTTACAATCCTAAAAGTTACCTTTTCACTTATTAAGCTTATATTATTTTCTATTAATAGTTTAAAGGACTTACTAAAATTTGATCATTGATATTACATCTATACAAAATATAAATAACTCATATAAATATTATAAATAAAATATAATTCTTATTTTATTAAAAATATAAAACTTCTAACATTGATTTTAACTTAACCTCACTCTATCAATTTTAAGTATAAGTCAATTATTGAATATAAGTAGATTATTGAGTAGGTGTAAGCTTAATATAATATATACATTAAAAAATAAAGGTTTTCATAAGCAAAATATTAAAAATAAATATAAATTTATTTTAGAATTTAATGAATCCTAGATTAAACCTAATCTACAAATCATAATTATATGTAAATATGATATAAATAAATTAATTATATCACTGTTTACATATACAAACAAGAATAAATTATTATTATTGAAGAAATATTTTAATTTAATTCTTTTTTTATTAATACAAAGTTATAATACATAACAAAAGAGGTCTCCTTCCTCTTTTATATAATTGCTCTTCCTCTTCTAATTATGAAAGATTTTAGTCTTGATCAACAAAATGAAGCATCTATCCTTTTCTCAAAATGAAATACTTATTAAGATTTATAAAAACTACCAACAAACTAAACAAAGAGAGATAAATATATTTATTTCATAACTATCGATATATTTTAAAAATAAAATTAACAAAGTAACAAATAATCATACATTTTTTATAAAATAATATTCAAATAACAAAAAAATTTGAATTAAAATGATAAATTTAAATAATTATTGATATTAATCTTATAATTACTAATATTCATAAAATTATGTATAAAATTAAAATAATAATAAATATATATAAAATTAACTACACTATAGTATCAATATAACACAAATAATATCAATTACATGATAACTTAAAATATTTAATTACATATTACATATAAAATGATAATTTAATTTTTATTTTTTTATTTGTTGATTTATGTAAATATTTATCAGTTATAATGTTTAACTATATATTATATATAAATTGATAAATAAAATTATAATTTCATTTGTTGATTCATTAAATATTTATCAATTATTGTGTTTTGAATATTTATAATTAGATATTTTTATTATTTAAAAAAAAACTGAAAAAGTGATGTATCGAGATATATATATATATATATATATATATATATAATTTATTATAATTTATAATTTAATATTATACATATTTATATTTATATTGAAATTATCTTATCAAATATA